CCACTGCAACCTCCACCTCCCGGGTTCAAGCAGTTCTCCACCTCAGACTCCCAACTAGCTGGAACTGCAAGTGCCTGCCACCATGCCTGGCTAATTGTTGTATATTTGGTAGATATGGGTTTCACCACGTTGGCCAGGCTTGTCTCAAACCCCTGACCTCAAATGATCCACCCAACCTGGGCCTCCCAAAGTGCTGGGATTATAGGCATGATCCACTGTGCCCAGCCAGGTGCACTTATCTTAATGAATGGCTTGTTCAAATGTATCTAAGACTCCAGAATCACAGAGAGCTATGGAGATGGTTAACAGAACACAGCATCTCTAGGGGAAAATAAGTGGACAGCCAACAAACTATTGCACAATCTACACAATTTAAATAAATTAAAAATGGGTGAATAAGAGTCTGCATATGGCTGCCTAATAAAAAGCCACCATCCTTGTCCAATTACTGTACCTGAGGCAGTTTTCAGACTTTGAGCTTGTTAACTGAAGACTTCAACTGAATCACCAGAAAGAACCCTGAAACACCATAGCAAATGTATATGGTAATTATTCTCTCAGTTCTTTCTACAAAAAACCTACATCCATTTACTTGAATAATCATACACTAGGGAAAATGGACTCCTGAGATACTTTGAGAGATGTGATACACAGGATCCAAATTGACCTGGATATCAGGATTCCGGAGTGGGCACATTGCCATGGATTATCTGGTCATATCACGTACTACATCAACTAAAATTGCCAACTTAATAGAGAGATGGAATGGCCTTTTAGAGAGGGCAATTGAGTTTTACAGAGAAAATATCCAGTAAGGGGTGGGTGCTACCCTCCAGGATGCAGTTAAATTCTAAATCAATGACCATTATTATATGCTGCTTTTTCTCCTTATAGAATACACAGGTCCAAGAACCAAGAAGTGACCTCACTATCATCACATCCAATGACCCACTGGGGGAATGCTTTCCTTCCTGCAACTCTGGGCTCTGCCAGTTTAGAGGTCCCAGTTCCCAGAAAGGGAAAAACCTTCTATTAAGTGACATAGCAAGAGTCCCATTAATCTTTAAGCCATGGCATCAGCTCAGCTACTTTAGGCTTCTGTGTCAGGAAGCAGCAGATAAGAGGAGTTACTATCCTGGTGGGAGTGACCAGCCTATATGAGGCTGTGTTGGTAGGACTCTTGTTACATAGTGAGGCAGGGAGCAATATGTTTGATACCCAGTTAATGCAATGAGTCATTTCTTGGTATTCTCTTGTTCAATTTTGGTCATAAACAGACAAGTACATCAACCTTGGTTTGAGAAGGATATGATGATCAAGGGCTCAAATTTGACAAAATTCTAGTAATGCAACAAGGTAAGCTACCTACACCAAAAAAATGTACTAGCCCAGGGTGAGAGGAATCTGGAATGGCAATAGTAGAAGGAGATGATGGATATAGTCCTACTATAGTTCCTTTTGAAAGTTTTCCCAGGAAGAGACTAACCAGAGTCTTGGAGTAGCTTTTCCCAGATAGATTTATCACACCTAGCAAGTAGATCTGCCTGGATACTGCAGTGCACCAGTCACATCCCTTCCTCGAGACTGAAGCACTCATTCCTCCCACTGCTGAGAGTATTAGCAGATGATTGCTGTCAGCTAGAACTGCCCTCTCTAGAAATAAGCTGTACAGAGCAGGCCCTCCTAAGGTTATGTCTCCTAGTGAGGAGTAACATAAATTGAATGACCTGTTGATAGGGGAGGGGGTGGGTGTATAAAGGCTGAGCACCTTTGCCTCAGGGCAGGACAGCTTTGAGGGGCTATCACAGCTCAGAAAGTTCTGCAAGGCTACTGAGACCTTTTGTAGTTCAACCCTCCCCTTGATCAATCCTACTTCTTTCACTCTCTCACATGTGTTGATCTATAAGGTACTTACCAGAACCATTTCTGCACACACATCTCTGAATCTGTTTTCTCAGAAACCTGTCCTAACTCAAATACAAATATTCGATATATATTTAGTAATATAAAGAATATATATTAAAATAAATTAAGTGATATGTGTTATTTACATTATATATTATTATATATAATTATGTGTATCTACACATGTGCATAGATGTAGGCACACACAAACATACATATATAATCTCCCTTAAAATTATATATTTTTAGCTGTGCTCCCATTTCACTTGTCTTACACAAATGTTGTTCTGGCATGTTGTTTTTAAATCTGAAATGTAAAAAACACTTAGAAATTTCTAAGCATGAGTGAATTCAACAGATAACCTAGCCAGTACAATAAGCCATTGTCACAAAATTAGAATCTTGAAGACCAATGAGCCACAAGTCATCCAGACCAGGGAAGAACAGGTTTGGTCTATTCCTGACTGAGTCTGTTGACACTACCACCTAACAAGAAAACAGCTGGGGATACATCAATAAATGGGTGTTAGAAAGTACAACCCTATTAACTGTTCGGAAGTCATCATTGTTACACTGTTTACCATCCAATTCTGTTTTGTTCCTGAGCTTTCTGAATTCAGAATTTAATCTTTACAAAATATACAGCTCATAACTTCTAAAAATGAGCCTGTGACTAAAGAAATTATGTTTTGAACAAGAAAAAAAAAATTTTTTTTACAATTGAATCAGAGTATCTTTTTTCAAGTCACTAAGGCTAAATTCAGTTAATCTATATATATGATATATATGAAAGGCTAACCACCAAATTAATAAATATTTGATAGATTTTTAAAATCTCAAAACATTTTATGATAATGATGCTGGTATCCCTAAATATCCCAACTTAATAAAACCTGACAGCATATATCACTGCACAGCTAATAGAGTGAATTTAAATGGAAAGTTCCTTTAAGCTTTACGAAAAAGCAGCAGTTGTTCTGTAAATTTACACTACTAAAATTAGAGGCCTTTGAGGTAGCTGTGAAAATATTCTGATGTTGGAAGAAAAAAAAAAAACCCTCAGAATGTTGCAAAACTAGAAATCAAAGTAGGACTGTCAGGCAAATCACATTTGAAAAAAAAAATAAAAAACTTTTAAAGAATGGGGAAATTTTAGATTCTGTTCTTTACTTTGATTCTCTAGGGTAGCTATTACTTCACTACTTTGGTTGGCTTTTTATTATGTTAACACATCAGACAGAATCTTTTCTAAGGACCAATGTCTTTTAAATATTCAGGGTAGCATATGCTCACACACTTCACTATTCTTATGTCCACATAAATACTGTAGGTTATTTCCAGTCCTTTGTAAAAGTTTTTGTCATGTAGAAGCGTTTGATAGTCTGGACAATGGACAAGTGGCATTTTACTTATTTATAATAAGAGTTGAATGTATTATGAATTGGTGAAATAAAAACAAGAAAACAGCGTAGAATCAATAGGAGTTTAAATGAGACTCCAATAATGATAGTAATAATATTATTAATAATAGTAATAGCTAACTTTTATTAAGCATTCATTAAAAGTAATGACAAAAACTGAAATTACTTTTGCACCAACTTAAAACTCTGTGTCCAGGGCTTTGTGGACTATCTAATTTAATCCTTCAACAGCCTAAATAATATGGTATCATTATTATTCTGATTTGCTGACAAGGAAATTGAAGACTCCAAAGTTAAGTAACCTTTCTTGGTTATAATTCAAAGGGGTAAAGCTGGGTGAAGGTGGTAATGAACACAGCAGGTTTAGTATTATACTTAAAGTATATGCTAAGTTTATACTAGCACATGGAACTAAGAACTTGCTGCTTTAAAGCAAGTACACCTTTAAAATTTATTTTTCTCTTAAGAAAATAACCTGGAATATGCCATATCAGAGGTTGGCAAATTATGGCCCTGTAGCCAAAGCTGGTTGAGGAGTGTCTGTATTTATAAACAAAGCTTCACTGAAACTCAGCAACATTCATTATTAATTTACCTATTGTGTTAGACTGCTTTCACACTGAAATGGTAGAGATAAGTAGTGGAAACAATCATTTGACCTCCAAAGCCCAAGGTATTTATGAATCAACCTTTTTCAGAAAATGCTGAGCCTCTGCTGTACAGTCTTTCTTTATGATACATGCAAAATGACACATAATTGGTTCCAATATCCAGTAATAGAAATAGGAGTGCCTTTTAATAATGCCTTTTAGCACTCTTCAAATTAACAAATATAATCTGGAATATAAAATTTGAGATAACATTTAGTCCTGTGCAAGATCATATTTTGGTACAAAACATAGTCTAATAATTTATAAAGTTTTTTATTATTTTTAATATATCAGTTATAAATAATTGGAAAAAGAAGTATATTAAGACAAAGAGGTCTAGTATAGTAGTTCACGCCTGTAATCTAGCACTTTGGGAGACCGAGGTGGAGGATCGCTTGAAGCTAGGAGTTTAAGAACAACCAGTCCCTTTCTGTACCAAAAACATAGCCAGTCCCTGTATGTACCAAAAAAAAAAAAATTAGCCGGGCATGGTGGCACATGCCTGTAGTCTCAGCTACTCAGGAGACTGAAGCAGAGGGATTGCTTGGGTTCAGGAGGTTGAGGCTGCAGTAAGCTCTGAGTTGTGCCACTGGACTTTAGCCTGGTTGATAGAGCAAGACCCTGTTTTAAAAAAAGAAAAAAGAGAAAGAGTAAGTCAGGCAGCTTGATATTAAATTTTTTGGTCACTGGGGTTCGTTGTTTTGGCTAAGGTCTTGAATTTGAGTGTTTTAATTTTAATTTTTTATCTCTATCATGGAACCCTGTTTTATGTGGCTATTGACAAAGAGTTGGAAATATACAAGATTATTTGTACTATATCAACAAATAGAGATACTAATATACTTCTTATCATTGGAAACATCTTTGCAAATGAATTCAATAAGCTGAGTGAAAAAAAAAGTACCTAGTGATAAGTAATACAGTCAACGAGGAATATGCATTTTTGGTTGGGTCGTATATGCACAATTCTTTAAAAGTCATCTATCTCATAACATTGCCATTTGGTTGTTTTTATTTCTTCTAGATTTGGATGATCCAGTAGTAACTGTTCATCAAAGTATAGGTGAAGCTAAAGAACAATTTTACTATGAGAGAACAGTGTTCCTCCGGTGTGTTGCCAATTCCAATCCTCCTGTTCGGTATAGCTGGAGACGTGGCCAGGAGGTCTTGCTGCAAGGATCTGATAAAGGAGTTGAGATTTATGAACCATTCTTTACCCAGGTATGAACTAAGGTACAGTATTTCCACCCTACTCTGCTAGGATACTTTCCTAATTCAGGCAGCATGAATTCATAGCTATTTGAAAACATAGTTTCTCTATTCTGGCCTTTCAAAAACCAATATGTGCTTGCCTTAAAGATTAGAGGACTTAAATATAAAGGACAACTTATTTTTATGTGGTTAAATTTAAAATGTTAACTCTTGAAAACATTTTTTAACTTAATATGTCCTAACATATTTTTTTAATATGTAAGTTTTCCTATGTTTCCCTATAACATACATAGTTATACATTTTGCTGGCTGATTTGGGTTTTGTGGAAAGTATTTCTCAAAAGGAGAGATTTTGATTTCCCCATTTGCAAATGGTGAATAGCTATTAAACACATGAAGAAACCTGTTTGAAATTTATTTGGCTTTAGTTTTAGGAGAGATATATCTTTAATTTCCTTTAGTCATGTTCGCTTTTGACTTGGTTTAGAAATAGAGCTTTAATTGTGCTAAAAATGAAAATATTTAAGGAGTCATTACAATTGTATTTAATAAAAGTTGAATTAATTTTACATAGAATGAATGTAATATGAAATATTATTGTGTAATACACGAAGAGTAAGGAATTAATAAGTCTTCAGGAAGATACTGAAATTTGTGGGAATATTTGCGTGCTGTTATTATAAAGGTTTTTTGATGACTAGAAAGAAGCACAAACCTAAATTAACAAGGAAAAAGTTTTAAATAAAAAAAATGTGGACGAAAGTTCAAAAGTATTGTGACAATGAAAAATAATTTTTAAAATTATATAAATTGGCTGGGCGTGGTGGCTCATGCCTGTAATCTCAGCGCTTTGGGAGGCTGAGGCTGAGACGAGGTCAAGAGATAAAGATAATCCTGGACAACATGGTGAAACCCCATCTCTACTAAATATACAAAAATTAGCTGGGCATGGTGGCATGTGCCTATAATCCCAGCTACTCAGGAGGCTGAGGCGGGAAAATCGCCTGAACCCGGGAGGCAGAGGTTGCAGTGAGCCGAGATCTCGCACCACTGTGCTCCAGCCTGGCAACCAAGTGAGAGTCTGTCAAAAAAAAAAAAAAAAAAAAAGGATATTATATAGATCACAAGATAGGCAGGAATTTGACACATTGTACATACATTTGAGATATCTATATATCCCTAACTAGGAAAATGTATAATTAATCTTTAATTATTATAAATATTTTACTCCACAGTTTTAAAGATTAATACAGCTTTCATATCTAAACTCTAATAACATAAGGTTACTTTGACTTTGTAAATATCCCAGCATCCCATTTTTCACCATTGAATGTATTTCCTTATATGATAAACTAAGGCCTGACCTCTTTCAGATTAATATAATTGCCAATATTTAGACATTAACTGTGGAATAATGCAGTGATTATATAACATCTGCACATGTCATATATATTCCTGTTTTGCAAATAGATTGTAAATAAAAATATGTATTCTTTATTTTTTAAAAGGTATAAAACAGTTTTAACTTGCCAAAATATAAATCTCTGAAAATCAGCATCTCACATGGCATTGCTAGTCAGTTCACCATAACATAGTACCGAGGCCTGTTCTAATCTGATTGTCTCTTGATTTAGGCCACTGTGACACTAAGTGTTCTCTGCCAACGGGTAGGACTGAATTTTCCCCCATACTTTCTGTAATGCTTTAATTCATTCTTCAATTGTTACTAAAATGATTTTTTGGTTTAAAATATTATCCAGATAAATGATCGTCTATTACGTATTTTATTTTTCTATTGTCAATTTATTTTTAAAATATGCACATTATTAAGATTTAGAAAACATCTTTTCCTCTAGAATCTTTTCAAACATGGTAACATTTATAGAAAATAAGGTAATTCTAAACATCTTTTCACTATATGGTTATTTCTTTTTGTTTGCTTGTTTTTGAGATGGAGCCTCGCTCTGTCACCTGGGCTGGAGTGCAGTGACATGATCTCTGCTTACTGCAATCTCTGCCTCCGGGTTTAAGCGTTTCTCATGCCTCAGCCTCCTGAGTAGCTGGGATTAAAGGTGTCCACCACCACACTAGGCTAATGTTTGTAAATTTAGTAGAAATGGGCTTTACCATGTTGGCTAGGCTGATCTCAAACTCCTGACCTCAAGCAATCCACCCGCCTTGGCCTTGCAATGTGCTGGGATTACAGGTGTGAGCCACCATGCCTAGCTATATGGCTATTTCTAACCTGCAAATGGGTCCAATCACTTGGAATTGAACACATGGGCCTTGTCCAGATTTTGGAAAATCTTTCATACTATCAAAATATTTAAGGATTTATTTTAAATTTACTAAACAAGCACAGTCAAACTTTTAAAAAATTGATACATTATAACTGTCCATATGTATCTGGTATGGTGTGATGTTTTGATACATGTCTGCACACTGTATCATAATCAAATCAGGTTATTTAGCATATCCATTACCTGATACATTTGATGTATAATGATGTATATACATTTGATGATAATGATCAAAATATTCTCTTCTAGCTGTATTGAAATATACAGTACAATATTGTTAAATGGTCAACTTATTCTGCAATGGAACACTAGAATCTGTTCCTCCAAAGTGTAACTTTGCACCTATTGACCGATCTCTTTCTATTCTCCCTTCTACCTCCCTTTCTCTAGCCACTGCTAACGATTATTGTGCTCTCTAATTCTATGAGGTCAACTTCTTTAGATTCCACACATGAGTAGATAATATAGTATTTGTCTTTCTGTACCTTGATTATTTTACTTAACATAATGTCCTTCAGATCCATCCATGTTGCTGGCTCTGGGACAGACCCATCATTTGCAGCAATGTGGATGGATCTGGAGGACATTATATGAGGTAAAATAAACATTCATTATTTTATAGCTGTGTTCGTTATTTCATAGCTGAATAGTATTCCATTATGTACATATTCCACATTTTCTTTATCCATTCATCTGTTGATGAACACTTAGGTTTATTACCTATTTTGTCTATTGTGAATGGTCCTGTAATAAATATGGAAGTGCAAGTATCTCCTCAACATACTGTTTTAATTTCTTTTGGATTTATCCAACAGTAGGATTGCTGGATCATATTATAGCTCTATTTTTAATTTTTTGAGGAACCCCTATACTGTTTTCCATAATGGCTGTACTAATTTGCATTCCCGCCAACAGTGTATAAGTGTTCCTCTTTCTCTGCATCCACACCAGAATTTGTTATTTTTTGTCTTTTTGATAATAGCCATTCGAATGGGAGGGGGGTGATAGCTCACTGTGGTTTTGTTTTGCATGTCCTTAGTAATTAGTGATTTTGAGCATTTTTTCACATAACTGTTGGTCATTTGTATATATTCTTTTGAGCAATGTCTATTTACATCTTTTGCCCATTTTAAAATAAGATTTTTTTTTTTTGCTATTAAGTTCTGTGTATTTTCTAGATATTAACCTCTTATCAATTTGAATGCATAGTCTGCAAATATTTTCTCCCTTTCTGTAGGTTGTTTCTTCACTGTGTTGATTCTTTCCATTCATATGCCCAAGCTTTTTAGTTCAATATAATTCTATTTTTCTATTTCTGTTTCAGTTGCCTGTCCCTAGACCAATGTCATGAAGCATTTCCCCTATGTTTTCTTCTAGTAGTTGTGTTATCTCAGGTCTTACATTTAAGGGTTGAATTCATTTTGAGTTGTTGTTTGTATATGAGGAGAAATAGAAGTGTAGCTTTACCTTTCTGCATGTGAATATTCAAGCTTCCCAGCACTATCTACTGAAGACACATTTTCCTTTCCCTAATGTGAGATTTTGGCACTTTTGTTGAAAATTCATTGGCTGTAAGTGTGTTGATTTGGTTATGTGCTGTCTATTCCATTCCATTGGCCTATATGTCTATTTTTATGTCAGTACTATGCTGTTTTGGATACTATAGTATTGTAGAATATTTTGAAGTCAGATAGTATGATGCCAACTTTGTTGTTTTTGCTCAAAATTGCTTTGGCTGTTTGGGATTTTTTGTGGTTTCATACACATATTGGATTGTGTTTTCTTATATCTGTGAAGAATTTCATTGGTATTTTAACAGGATTGGATTGAATCTGTGGATCACTTTGGATAGTGCAGACATTTTAACAATGTTAATTCTTCCAATCCGTTAACCTATGATATCTTCCAATTTAATTGTATCCTCTTCAATTTTTCTTATCAATGTTTGATGGTTTGCATTGTATCAATCTTTCCCCTCCTTGGTTAAATTTATTTCTAGGTATTCTTTAGGTAGATAATATGGCAGAGGCCTTCTTAACACTGAAGACTCATCATCTCAGGGAAGCTGTCTCTGAAAAGCTGATACAACGTCTCATTCCTTCCTTCTTTATACCTCCATATTGGGTTACTCTTTCTCTGTTTACTTTTTCTTTTGCTTATTGTGCTAATGTTTTTATGTCTCTCTCTCTCTATATATATAGGTATATATATGTATACATATATATATGTAGGGAGAGACAAAACATACGTGTGTGTATATATATGTATATATAACTTTACACAAACATATACATATATACGTCTTAGATGTTATTGATTTCTTGAACTACTGTTTCCCATACTGCCATGTGTACTTTATAATGAAAAAAACTTTTATGTTAGCATTGTTCATATTGGGGCACTTCAATAATATTTTAATTTTTAAATGTATCTCCTTAGGTTGATAACCATTGGCCTTTGTGGCTTCATGACGTAAATAAGATTCAGTTAAAATAACTAAGATCTACTATATTCAAGATATGGGCATACCTTTGCCAGAAATACAGAGGTACTAGGCAAGGCTCCTCCTCTGATGTTTGTTGATATATAAAGGAAAACTTAAGATGATCAATAATTATGATATAAAATAAAAATCATTGTCAAAATAGAGATATACAACACTGCTATGGAGGGAGCATTCAAGGTGGAGACATTAGCACCTGCAAGAAA